CACAAGACTATTTACCTCGATGGATTTCATACATACAGGTTACAGGGGGAAGCAGCCTCTGGAGCAGATGACCCCAAGCCCAGCAGCATGCATCTTTTCCTCCCGTTGCAAACTGGCACAACTCTATGTGCAGGATGAATTCTGTGCTATTTTGTAGCGAACGGGCTAAACAGAGTTCGTCTCACGTGGCCATTAGTATTAAGGGTTCTTTATTTAGCCAAGCAGACAGAACACGGGCTGGGAAGTTTGGACCTCTATTTCATCGCTGCTTTTCCTAAGTTCCCAAGCCACAGGGGAAAAAGGACTCACTCTCTCTGTCCTTCTCGCTCCCCTTTTGGAGCTGTTCCATTTTTTGTTCCAACGGACATTTGGTAAGGGGACTGGAATCCAGATTTCTTTTTCTGTCCCTAGGGAATGCTTTAACAGAGCTATGTCATCCTTTCTTGCGTTGGTTCCTCCCCCCAGTCCCCACTATGGAAAACAGTTTCAACGGGAGGAGTTCAGAGCCACACATACAACATTCCCGCACTCCTGAGTACCCTGAGCAATACTGCTCAGCTCCCTTTGTGGTCTATGTCAAATGAACACTCAATGCTCCTTACGCAGAGGTAAACAGACAATTTCAGAAACTGGAACGAGCTGCTTTGCCCTTGTCGTACAGGTGGTCAGATCACAATCGTGCATCCAAGACAATTTCAGAAATTGGAACGAGCTGCTATGCCCATGTCATACAGGTGGTCAGATCACAATCGTGCATCCAGACTGCTCACAGGGCAAAGCCCATTAGGCAAGATATGTAGGAGAAAACCTTAGGCAGGATTCACAAGTAGGAACAAACCACTAGCAGTTCACTCACTTCTGCCCAGATTTTAGTGGTTCTGGGCACTCCCAGCAAGTGCCCAGACTTCCTGCCCAAATGTAGACATCTAAAGCCAAAAATTAGATCTTAAAAACATCCTTCTGCTACAAGGGCTGTAATCCCTCAGAAACCATGTTTCCATGGTGCTTGATTGCCGCTTCCGCTCATCTGCTTCATAAAAGCCAAACAATGCCTGGCAAATCTGATTAACCTTTTACATTTCTCTAAGAGTGCTATTCTTAAACTGTGATCCTTCACAGGTTTCCCCAAGAATAAGCCATGCCATTACTTAAGAAATATATATTCACCCCCATCCCTCTGCATCAAGCAATCCCAGGGGACACTTCTCCAAATAACCACCTGAGGAAAAGCAAGGTGACAGACTGAAAGGATGAAGGACTAGCTCATCACAACAGCATTATTTTAAATCTGACAGCCCCATACAGCCAAACCTGTTAAAACAGGTTACATAGTTGAGCCGGCTTTTAGCCAAGGGTTCTAGAGGTGACACTACAAGTAAAGTCCTACAGATGCCTGCAGCATCTGACCGGTACAATTTTCCCTTGGGGTTTGCTAGGCGACAGACAGCAAGTTCCTCTTGTGGGGCTGTTGTGTTGGAGAGGCATCCAGGTAACAGTAGCAGGCAAACCCAGCGCATTAAAGGAAAAAGCTTTCTCTTCTCCTCACTTCACCAACAGTTAATGCTACTTTGCTACACTGTTTGAAGAACAGCTAGTAATATGAGCAGGGTAAATAAATTCCCGGGTCAGCACTGGCAGAAGCACATACCCTCTTCTTGATTGGTCATGAAGTCATGCTTGGAAAGAAATAACTACAACATTTTTATTATGTGTTGAGGCAGCATGAGCAGCATGGTACTCACATTTTCTCAGTATCATTAGCTGTTAAAATTACTGCACCTTTCCTGGATTGGCTACTGCAATCTGCCTCAGAGATCTGCTTGGTACTGCGTATTCCCGAGACCACACTTGCTCCTTCCACGCACTCGGGTTTATACGAAAAAGTCCCCAGTGTCCCCATGGCAAGATAGGAAAATGGAGCTCTGCTGACTCCCCGGCCCCTGAACTCACAGATACTCAGCTGTGCTCCCTAAGTAAGTGACCCAGGCGGGCATGAGGTTAAGCGTGCTGTTCCTACAGATGTCAGAGGAAGCCTTCACATCCATGCCATCTAAACAAATTCGCTAAGGAAAGGCAAAGCTAGTTTTCTGAACTGACATACCAAAACATGAGAGATCAGCAGTTCCTATGTCCATTTAATCACTTGAGATTTTAAGATTACTTCTGTAACTGGTCTCAGGAACATCATAATTTCACTACTAACCTTAAGCTCAGACTATATCCACCAACCGCTGGTGGCAGATAGATGTGCCTCAAACAAAACAGTTTTGCACTTGCAATTGTAGTCACTGTGGTACGGCGGTCAGGCAATAAAACCACTACCTTGAGCTTAGTTTTACCTCGTCAGCCAAGCCAGAATGAGGCACGCTTGTCTGTAAAAACCAACCACAGCCATATGGAAACTGTGAGGCCCGACAGCAATGCAGCACTGTCATCTCCTATGGCAGCACCTACTAAAACTTGCTTTCCATCAAGACAGCTCTGCTCTCTCATCTCTCAGCAGTATTATGCCAGACAAGTTAGTTTTCAAATTCTTTCAAAAAAACTTGCCAAAAACTGGAAAGCATTATGTGAGCACAGGATTTCAGTTTTAGATTTTAAAGCCAGCTCTGACACATAATTATATTAATACAATATATTGTGGAAGAATAATAGAAATACCGATTACATACTTAAAAGATTTTGGCTTGAAATCATTCCTAAAGAATAAAGCTATGATCATAGCCTGACATACTAATTATTAAGAGCCTGTACTATTTAATTACCTGATTTCAATAGCTCTAGGAAATTAAAGGGGAATATTGGACTCTATTATATTAAATATATGAATAGGCTCTGTCAAAGGCATTTGCTAGAACGTGAATGACTTAACAATCAACACACCACTGGCAATAAAACCGATACATGCACAGAAGGGAAGGAAGAAACTCCACCAGTGAGGGGCAAATCCATGGCAGCTCTTTCCTTGGATATCAAATACAGGACAAGCAGGAGGGTAAAAACAGCAGTTGTCACCATCTGTCACAAATCAAATGACAGAAGGTAAAGAAAGCAAACCCATCAAATAATCATGCAATCAAAAGAAAACCAGAACAAATTTATACAATATACACACTACATACACCCAATTTTCAGCTGTTTTTAAAGCAGTCTAGGTTATCTATTCCCCCTGTCAGATACAATGAAGGCCTTGAGAAGCAGAGTTGGTTTAAGAAAAGTAATTTTTCCAGTGGAAACGTGCAGACCAGATTAGAAGTAGACTTGGAGAAAAGCAATTGACATACATAACATGAAATCATCTCAACGGAAGGGGTTTTATAGCAAAGTCGTAGCTTCTGTTTCTCTTCTGCAGCTGCATAAAGCTACAACCTTTCCAACGCTTCCACATTTAAAAAGGTAATGTTTCTACTCACTGTTATGCACAAAATCTTTAAATTCTCATACTATACTCTGACCCTTTGATGCCTTCACAATTCTGCACGCAGTCAAAAATAACGGCTCAGAAGAAGAAAAAGAATATGATCCCACTCAGCCCAAACTAACCTACCATTTTAACACTACAGTTGGATATTGGGAAGTAAGAACAGAAATAATGGACTGATGTGACAAAATTCCAGTATTCTCTTGGATGACAAAACGTGGAGGCCAGACTGCCTCTTCTCCTGCTTTTCACAAAGCAGTTCATTTATTTATTTACTTATTTTCCAAATGAAAATCTGTATGCCACAGATGGAAACCCACGGAAAGCGGTGATATATTTACTAACACAATTCAGCAAACCAGTACTCCGCTCAAAACTTAACATGAAAGTATCACAGAATTAACCCTGGTGACCTGATAAACACCTCTTCACGTAAGGTTCACCCCTGAGAGGTGAACCTGGGAAAAGCATTCTTGCGAGATGTGGTGTCCTCTCGGCTACCCGAAGATCAAGTGAGTTCAATTTACACAAAGAAAATGCATCATTTTCTTTTGCTGCCAAACATGAAAACACACTATTTAACATGCCTCTATCTTTCTTTCCTCATTCTTGCTAATAAATTGCCAAGAGTAAATGTAGCGAAGGTAAAGACGACCAAATACAACACATCCCATTCAAGGGCTATTAACCAATAAAAATACTGAGCAGAAGTAGTATTTTCTAATCATCTCTAAATAGTAGCTATCTCAAAGAAGATGGTGAGGAAATCAGATTGCTTATCTCAAGTACTTTTATAACCTGCACTACAGTCACATCCAAAAAAATCTCACAACACAAACCATCTTTACTTTGTGCAGTATCCCAGTGGTAATGGACGGAAGGCATTTCTGCATCTGGAGGTCAATGCTACTTCCTCCATTTGTGCAGAGGGGAGCCTAAGGCACAGACTTGAATGACTTGTTCAAATTCTCAGAAGGCAGCCGGGGTGGAATGTGGAACGGACTTGCCTTTTTAGCTACGGATATAAAGATGCCATCATGCTCCCTGCCATCGCACACCTTGCACATCAGGCCCCGAGCAGCCAAGATGAACTTGCCAACTTTATTTCAAGTTCTGGGAAGGTTCTGTCTCCCTCAACAGGGCAACACACCAGAGATGTTTGAGCACTCTGCCTCACAGAAAAATATAACGTGTCCAGGAACGGTTACTTGTGCAAATTTGAACTAGGTGAGGATGAAATTACTTTTTTCTGAGTGATCACCTGCAAAGTAGTTTCTTTTTACCCTTCCTCCCATATACTTTAAAAATAAGGGAAAAAAACTAAAAAGGGAAACAATGACACACTTTAAATGCTACTATACTATTAAAAAACCAAAACTAAAAACCACCAAACCAAACCACAAACCACTTGCTACTTTCACAATATTCTAGAAGCAGAGGTCTTTTCAGACAGACTAGCCTGAAGGGTGAGGACAAGAGAATTGAACCACTACATAAAAAGCCATCCTGGCTCCAGATAGGTTCTTGACCTTTAAAAGAAACAATAAAACCCAGAAACACCAATAAAAATAAATCATTCTCAAGAAAGTAAAACCACCTTTAATTAAATTCCTACATAAAACATTTCTATGCAAAACAACTGTTTAGTCAAAAAGTAAATATATATGTTTAATTCTCTTTCAAATGTCAACAAGAATTGAGAGCTACCAGTGTTCCTTGGAGAACAAGCAGTAGTTAAAGTCTATCTTGCTGATGTTCAGAAACAGTATATTACATCTTTTAACCAGCAGTTCCCTATTGCACGTAACAAATTTGCTCTCCATTTAAGCACCTAAAAGCTTGGTACCTCACTAAATAAATTAAAACAGATCCAGTTTCTTCAGCAACCATCTTCAACATATATATCTTGGTAAAGCAACATTACTGCAAGCTTTTAATAAATACAGAAAGAAAAGATTAATGACTTCTCATTGGTGTTTTATGGAATGATCTTTTCCCATAAACACTCGCTTTTCCAAACATTTGGGGTTTTTGGTATGTATGCTCTAAAAATCACTATGTGTAGTATATTTAATGAAAATTTCCCATACATAAGTGAGTACATTTGCACGGCACAACTAATCGGAGATACGAATTTCAATGTAAGGCTGTAAGGAGCTTCTTGCTGAACCTGAAATAAGTGTGCCTCTTCAGGAGCTGAAAACAAAGCCCCAGAGGCCAAACGGGAGACCATTACCCATGAGGGATTCTCAGACACGCTTGGAATTGGCCTAACTTTCCTCTTACTGAAGGGCTTCTTTTGTGTCCGTTATCTCAGAGGAACACAATTGTGCAACCCTGAACATCTGGGTGCTGCACCATTTTCAAAGGTCTCTCCCCGCCACCACCCCCAACCCCCCCATCTTACAAATATCTGCTCTTCTTTCGGCAGCAGTGTAAGACATTAAGCAGCTCCCTGTAGTATGATGATACTGCGGTTGCTATTTACAGTAGAATTAATGCATCTGTGACAGTAGGGCAGAGTTCATATGAAAAATATACACAATATGGTCATTTTTAGCCAGATTAGGATATAAAAAAATTTACTCTTCAAGTTCCAAACAAAGACCAGTTCTGTCAGAGGTCTTCAAACCTCCCAAGTATGTCAGAGTACATTACCCTAACGTATAAAAACAACTATTTACACCTCCATAAAGTACCAAAGAATTTTTAAAAATGCCTAGTAGCTCTCAGCGTGCAAACAGCAGGAACTGATTATCCAGGATGTTCACCGTTTGTGGAGACAGTCTTGGAATCAAGCATTCAGAAGCAGAGTGCAAAAGACTCAGGAATTATTTCAGCACATTTCTTTTTGTTGTTTTGTTTTCTTTCTTATTTAAAGTAAGTTTTGTTGGTCCATACTACAGAACCCCTTTTAAAACACTTATCAAGGTAACATTCAGCTTAGTGCAAACGCAAAAATCTTCTAGGATCTGTAATCTTTTCGAACAGTGTGAGCCATCCAGTTCACTTTAGTAGTCCAACTTTCCCGGAGTGCTTCATCAAACTTCTGTTTAAATTGTTTTAGTGCTTCTTCCTCACTCTTCCCTAAGGCAAGAGAGTCCTAAGATGACAGGAAAAGAAGTACTGTTAGGAATTTTAAAAAACACAGTTAAGTTCTCCTTCACCTTTCAACACAAACCACATTCTGTTTTTTTCTGTTTTGACATTTTTTCATCCATTCATTGAGCAACACATCAATAGTATTTTCTGGATTTAAAGATAAAACCAAAGAAGAACTAAGCAAATAATTTTCACCTTTACAGGTCTATGCTTGTGCATCAGCCAAAACATAAAATATCCCTGAAATGACTACATTTAAGATGCAGGGATGCTGAACTCTTTATAGAACGGTTGAGAGGAACGTATATTCGTAGCTTCCTTTCAGCGTTAGGACTGACTACAGACCTTGTTCTACAGAGCTGAAAAAGAAAGCTTCGATAACTATGTGGAAAACTTGAGATAAATGGAAAACAATTAAAATGTATTAATTTTAGAATCAAAATTCACATACTGGAAATGGGCTAAGTGCTGCTAAGCTGTAAACCTTACTTTACCTTGAGATACTGGATGTCCTTGACAGAGGTTAGCTCTGGAAGCCCTGCAGTTAACATCAGTGCAAAGAGTGTAATAAAGAGGTTCCCGTGTTTTCGCAGAATCAAGTATGCTTCTTCACAATACTGGCGGAACCTTCGTGTTCGACCACAAAGCACATGCAATGAAGACAACATGTGAGAACGTACATGGTTGACAAATATATGTAATGATTTCCAAAAATTGTTACCTGGTCTAACACATACATCGTAGGAACACAGTAACAGAAAGGACAGAGATGCCTACAGAACCTCCAACGCATTCCCACAAAAATACCTTGTGCCTCTCCAACAAGCCCTTAAAACATCAGTACAAAGACGAAAAGCTTAAAAAATCCCCTCTGTTCTTCAGAAAGAGCAAAAAATGCCAAGGGTAATGCCAGTGTCCCATCTCCCTAAGAATCTGTTCAGCAAAATGCCCTGATGATCCTACATAGCGGACCTACAGTGGAAAAACAAAAGCTCTATAGTAATCCCTACCAAGCCAGTCTGTCTCTAAGGTAATTCCTTCCTGCAAACACAGTCAAAATTGAACCGACTGCCCGGTCTGGCATTAACACCCACCACGCAGACACTTGAGAACTTGCTCAGTGCCCTCACGTGTGCCACTGTCCAACGTCTAATCTGTACGTTTCCACAGGAAATGGGAAGAACCCCTCAGGCTAAGATGACAAGTTATACCTCAAAGAATAAATTCCCTTCCGAGGCATTTTTCAAGTGAAAGTGGAATCCTACTGCCATTTAAAGTACTCCATATTCCACAGCTCCTGCAACAGAACAGTCACCTAATAGCCTTTATTTCATGGTTTTAAAAATGGAGCTACAGGTGGATTTCATTACTCTCCAGGAAGACATGGGTCACTGGCAGTTGTTTTCCATTCTTCCTAGACACACCACTACAAATATACATACAGCTGCTTCTACCAGAAGTAGCCATAAGATTTGTCAAGCCATACCTAAGTACTTAATTTCACGTGTCTGTCAATAAATGCTATCAGTTTTCAGAGGACGAAAAGTGAGAGCAAAACATTCAGAATGCCCTTCCTGTCAATGGGCGAGAATGATACGGAAGGGAAAAAGAAAAATCTACCTAACAGGGAGGATCACAGAGCGTAGCGTTCCCTTGTCACGTGCTTTCATGTTCCATTGTAGCTCTCTAACCCAAGATGAGAAGGGGCGTGCAATAGTGTTGGATTATGAGCTCTATATACAGCTCTATATACCTAAGCACCTAAGTAAGGTCAGCCTTGATTAGCACACTGAATGTGCACTGATGGACAGAAAGGGCAGAAGGGAGCCTCTTTCTAAATCCAGCGCTTCATCTCACTTGAACAATACTCTGTGGAATCCCTCCCTAGTGCCCAGTCCTGCTGAAGGTAAAAAAAAGATGAGCCCAGAAGAATCTGCCATCTCCTAGTGGAGGAGATAAAAAGGAACTGCATCTTTCCACTGCGGAGCTGCAGTTTCTGATGTATGAAGTAATTTGTATACATTCTAGCTCAGGCAGAGAAGTAGATAGTATTGTAAACACACATTAGCACACTTTCACACAAGTACAAATGAGCAAACCAAGCCCAGTTAGGTTCCTGATGCGCTGGAAGTTATCACCAGAGACCATCTCAGTTACAAAAGGAAGAGATCAAAATAATACTCACCGACCAAATTTTTCAGTGTTCCCTGTTTTTCCTTGTTGAATAACATGAATGAAGTCATAGGTGAGTATGAAAGGTACCCGTTCCCTTTTAATTCCAAACTTGGACTTGAAGTTTCCAAGAATATGCCCAAAATCTATATGAAAGAGCTAAAAATAAAAAAGAAGTGAAAATTAATTTCTCCAGTGAAATATTTTACTTTTCTAATATCTCTACAGGATGCTGGTATCAAGAACAGTTAACTCATAATGCTACTCTCCACAGCCCACGGTTTCAACCTTTTGGGAGCATTTAGTTTTAAAATGTTTCAAGATTTATTTAAAATCAGTTATAACATCCATGCTCCTACAAGTGACCACTGCTACAACTCAGTGTGCAAAAGATTATCTCAGGTTTAAGCTTCTGATGTCTGCTAAGAGACATCTTGTTGGTAACATCAGATAGAAAAATGAGCCCAATGATGAGCCCATGTGGCTCAACATCATCATACCCAAGGGCTTCCTACATAAAGTCAGGAGCAAAGCTACTAGAACTTAAGTTAATCTAAAGGAACCCATGGCAGTTCCCCCATTTTAGAATCAAAGATAAGGGCATTTCAGCTTTCTTCTAGTAGGTAAAAACTTAAAAGAATACTGCAAATGTCTATAAAACTCTCACTTTTATAACTCTGGCTATTTTTATAGGCAGAATAATTTAAATAAAATCAGACAAATTACAGTAGAAAGTAACAAACAGGAAAATACATTTCTAAGAGTTTACCTAGGCTGCAGGTTTTGAGACTTAGAGTCACAACATTATGCTAGTACCGAGTTCCATATTGAAAATTTCTGCAGAGGTTGGCTGCAGAGACTAACTTCAGGAAAACTACACTGCTTAAAACTGCAGTTCATGTATTTTTAAGCACAGTCTTTCACAAGATACTCTAAGACTACTGACTGAAGCATTAGCAGGCCTTTGGGATGTTCTAAGAAAGTTCTATAGAACAGCCTCACTTGATAGAGAATTGCTTACTAAACTGGCATTGGTTGGTCCTTCCACTGGTCTTACATTTCCTTTCTTTGAAGCTCTCTTCAATCCTCAGTTAAAAAAAGACATCAGTTCTAATAATGTGTGCATTTTTTTTTACTGAGACACTATAGAAATTAAAAGTTCCAAAGATAATTCTTGCACAACAGAGATACCGTAGTTATTCTGCCTACAGAAGAGATTTTTACCTGACCATTTTTTCTGACCATGATATTGTCACTGTGTCTGTCACCAATCCCCAATACATAAGTAGCTACACAGTAGCCAGCACAAGACAGAGTAAATTCTTCAATGGCTCGATCCAAGTCATCTCTGTAACCAAAGACAAATAATATTAGTGCATACTACTTGTATTCATATCATACCTTGACCTCAAAAAGGATTTTTGCTTGTTTAAACCAGAAGCCCATTAGGATGCTATAAAACTAGACTTATTTGAGGAAAAATACTGTAAAAAGTAGCTATGAGGAATAGGAGAAATGCAAATATTACAAGAGGCAACAACATCAAGACTTGAGACCCTTGCAGTTTCCTTGGGTTGGTTTGTTTTACCAAACCTAGTATGACTTACTCAACAACATGCAGTCAAAATGCTGCAAATACCAGAATTTCAGCTGGTTGTTGTTTGAATTCCAAGGGCACCATGAATCTGAGTCAGAATTTGACATACTAGAAAAATAAGTAGCAACAAACCTGCCAGAAGAGTCACACATCCCCCAATATTGAAATAGAAACTAACAGGAATTTTGTAGCTTATGCTATAGATGAGAAAATAACTGTAGAAATTACCCTAAATTGTATTCCTTCAGCCAGTTTAAGAGAGCGTCTTTGTTGAAGGCAGCGGCAGCAGCAACATTGCTACTATTTAACTGAATGTCAGCAATGGTTTCTGAACTAGAAACAGCCTCAATAAGGCCAGAATGATCTCCAGTTGCTAAACAACCGTATGGCAATATTCTGAAACAAAACAGAGATTCATGTTAAAATCAAAAATATCAAGAATGGTTTTTTAGTGTATCAGTATTTTGAGCGGGCTGAATACCTGGGCTAACTTGACTATTAAACTCTCCAAGGTTAACATACAGATACTGCTTGCAAAGTTAAAATATCAGTAATACATTTAAAACATTCATTTTTCCTATTACATATATATATGTAAAAAAAAAAAGAAATTATAAGCAACCCTAATTTTTCCCTTTTACTAGGGTACACAGTTACTTGTAATTTCATAGGCGAAACCATAGAGGGAGCCCTTTGTTTCCATTTGTTAATATACTCGCTAGACAGGCAGTGACTTACACTGACGTTCACTCCAGATGAAATTATCTGTGTATGAGGAAAAGAGGGTCTTAGCCTTTTCCCCTCATTCTTCCTATTTCAACTTACAATGCTATAAGTCCTTTTAAATATAAACATGTTTTCCAACTCTTACTAATTTTAAGCATAGAAACCTAATGAAAAACAGGAATACATCTTTTCACCTGCCTGATACAGAAGAATATACCTGTGCATTCACATACCATGTTTAGTAAAAATATCTACAGCAATATCATTGCATTAAAATAGGACACAGTTAAAGATATGAATCAAGGAGAGACGTGTCTACATAAGTAAGTGTATTTTTCCAAAACTTTTCCTTACTCCAGATGCTTAAAATGCTGAATGGAATGGCAACTTAGATGGGAGCTCAATGTATGCAATAAAAACTTAAAGCAAACACTTCACAGGACTTGCATCACAAATTGAGGTGTCTACTCTTGTGCTGGGCATCTCAGGTCAAGACTATTATCTCAGTTCTGGTCATGGATCCGTGTATAGAAGAATGGATGCCCAGGCAAATCCAACTGCAGTACACAAGCTGTAGACTAACACTTACTAACAAAGATCTGTAAAAAACTGCAGGATGTATTCAAATTTGTGTGTGTGTGTCCGCATATCTATATCTATATCTATCTACCTATATGAAGAAAAAGCACTGCTGGCAGAGTTGTCATCAGTATTTATATATAAAACAGATACTAAGTTTGATTGCTACAAAGCAGAACCCCATCTCTTAAACTCACACAGCCTATTATCCCAAGCCATAGAAGAAAAAAAAAATTCCAGATGAAATTAATCAGAACTTTTTGGCATAATAGCTATTAGATAACTGAATGGTTTCTCTACCTCGGTGATAACACACAACTGAAACGGCACAAGTAGTAATAACTGTATAGTTGGTGCTTCTCCTCTACCAGCAACAAAGCGAACTGAAAACCAGACTCAACAGGGTATTTAGAGAACACCACTCCAAAACAAAAGCAGCAGCAGTGCAGATTTGGAGCCTTCTTCCCGTTTCTATTCTAATCTGTTTCTCAATTAAAAACCCCAAGTCTCTAGACCAGAGGGTTCTCACAATGAACAGAAGGGTATCTGTAATTACCAAACACACACGTTCATGATACAAGGAAGCACTGCCCATCCTTATCACGACACAACAAACGTAAGCCAAATATGGCCAGGTTAAAGTGCACGCTGGCCTTCTTCCATGGCATTTCAACCCACCCTACTCGCAGCTTAACTGGGCACATGTCCAACAACTTCCCCTTCAAAAGCAAGCAATGATGAAAGCCTTCAGCCCCTTGAGAACTGTGTGCTTACAACTGGAGGAAAAAACATCCTTGTCAAAGAGACAGTTTGACAGGAGTCAAGTTAGGGACAAATCCTCTGGGCCCTTTCCATCTCATCCTGGTCTTTCTGACTTCAACATCTGTCAGCAGGATATGCTCCCTGCTTTTCAATGCCAGTAAAAATGATGGACAGATCAATACAGCAATCCTGGGCAGGACAGAAAATTTTCTTCTTCACTCTATTTAATACTGTTCTTTATTTCAAGAGTTTTATTCTCCAAAGCAGTATGTTTCCAAATACAACACCAAGTTCTGGTAGTTATCAACACACTCTCTGCAACTTTGAGTCCAATGATTTAAAAATAATGACATTCTTTAGTCTTGTAAGAAATACATTTTTCAACATGTTTGTGAACTCTGATTTCATTCATACACAGCTGCTTAACATCAGACTTCACACATGTTAAGAGAGGTGAAAAGGAAATTTCACCATAAATAGGCAGTGAAATGAAAAAGCAGTTTGGGGAACTCCCTCTATCTGTGCCAAAAGTAACCAAGCACTAACTACTTTTATGACAATTTACCACAGCAAAGGTCACTCAACATAGGTCGAACTCCTCAAATTTAGGATTTTCTGTTGCTCTGTTACTTTACTAATTTCTTCCTTAACACAGCTTCAACATTGTAATACAGGTAAAGCAGTGGAAATACTTTTTGATGCAAGGATTACTCTCCTAAGAGGTGCCACACTCACTGCAGACCTCACAGCATGACTGGGAAGACAGATGTTACGCTCCTCTGCTGAGATAGGTATTTGTAATATTTAAACATTCCTCAGATAGGATGTTATGTAACCTACTATGAGTATGCCCATACACACAACTTCAGATGTAGACTTTTTTAAAGCAAAATATCTTGAAGAGCTGTAACTTTTCAGGGGGTCTGAACCTCTGAAAGTTTCATTTCATCTGCTCACTTTGCAAATGCAACCTCAATACAAATACTGTTTAACTTAATACATTTGTTCCATAATTGCCCATATTTAAAGTACAAGAAACAACTAGAGATAAACTACAGAAAGAACAGAGGAAGTCTGGCTGCACATACTTATTAATGTGTTAGGCCAACTATTTCCTGCTCAATTTTCAGGTAATAATTTTTCTTAGAAATGAATAGGTATGGGGATTAATTAAAGAATATGCTTTTTTGGGATTCTCATTTCTCTCCGGTACTTGACTGACTGACATCTAAGGTCAAGTGACTCCAAGCCAGACTTCTCTAAATGACAGAGCAGCATTTGTCTGGGGTGGTAGTCTTTGCTGTCTAATGGCTGGGTCCGTACTGAGCAGCAGATGCAATTTACATCTGAAGTTTTATTCAGTTATGGACGCCACAGTCCACCCAGTGATAGTCCAGGACGAAGGACCTACTGGAGTACACTGTTGCATCCTCCCGCATACACATATTTCCTTTTCTGATACAAACCCTGGTCTTACTCTGGTATTTAGTCAGAATGCACACATGGGAACCCAGACAACAAAGCACACCATGTGTTGAAGAGGCCAGTTTACCCATGAGACAAATTAGTTGACAGTTAAACAAACAAACAAACTGACCAACCTTTCTCCTTCTTCAGCTTTGCAGATTTCAAAAACCAACAATATATTTGGTGTTCCTCTCTAGAGTTGAGAAATCCCATTGGGAATATTGCGTTCGCTTTAGATACAGACTGGGCTAAGATTTCATTTTAAACTACTACTAAATAACTGACTGCGGATTGCAGCGCAATTATAAGGAAATCGATCCTATCCCAAGCTCCTTGATGGCAGCATATTGGTTGACATTTGATCCATGCTTCATACAAGCTGTACAGTTTGCTCGTGGCAAGGTATTATTGATTGGAAAAGAGAGGCAAACAGCAAGTGCTTCTGCTCTTACACCGGTAAAACAAGTGAGAAGCCCTGCTTTTACTCGAATGAAGTTACCAGACTTCCTGTAGTGGAAAAAAGTTGAAAAGCACAAAATCCATTATGCATCCACAAAAGGAAAAAGGGAAGCAACAGCTTCAAGGAAACCAAAGCCTCAAAGGATGATGCAGGGCAAGAAGAAAAGACTCCGCTCTTTGAGTGGAGGTACGAAGCTGTATTTTTCAGGAAAGCAGATCTATCTGACACTACTGTTTCGCATGACACCATGCCTCTGACTCAAGCAAAAAGAAGCAAGACAACAAGTCCGGACTCATGAACATAGCAACAGAACTCATTACCACTGTTGTTAATCCATAGATTTTAGAGTTGCTTCTTCCCGAGAGGGTTGTAGACTGTAAACATGAAGATCACAAAGTCTTACCCTCTTAGCTGCTTCCTTATCTCCAGGCATTCAGAGTGCTGTTTTGTCCAATTCTGTTTGTAATCAAGGCCATTTCAGAGCCTTCCTTTGGCAACTGCCTGGTTAATCTCTCTTTGATAGACATAGAATTGTAACCCTGCCTCAATCCCAGAATTTTATCTTATAATCATAACTATGAGAGGATGAACGGAAGGAAGATGCTCCCAGTTAAGTAAATAAATGGAAGAGGCCAATTATAGAACTTCAATTCTCACTAGGAACTTCCCCTTTCTACTTACTTTCTTCTGACAGTTTTAAGAAAAATCTTGGACATCAGAGCCACTTTTTGGTTTTCCTTTGTTGAGTTTAAAAAATGCCTTAGTCAGGAAAAGCATATTTGATGACTCCTAATCCCTATTCCTGTTTGCTAGGCATGGTGTGTGGTCCAGGCTGGAACCACAAACTAAGCTTCTGGGAAGGCAGCAACCAAAGAATGCCTCATCAGGGATTCCACAGCTGCCAGAGGTTGTCCTTGCCCCTAAATGCTGGATCAGTCTCCTCATAGTCTATTTATAATGACATAAATTATCTAAAGCTTCCCCAAATCAGTGTTCAACTTAACACACACACAGCCACATCATTGCAAACATACACTTCCAGAAACAATTTATTATTCACATTCCTACTTCATCCCATACTTCACTCAAAGGAATCTTTCCGTAAGCAGCATAAGTAACAAGTTTATAATTCCACTTATCTGTGCAGGCTGATGTTATGTGCCTTATGAAGCTCCCATTATTACGCTCTTTCACAGGCATACTAAGTTGAATTTATGGCCTCCAAATGGTTTATAATAATGTGACACCCTATACCTTCTTTAGAACTACTTTTCTAAAAAGAAATTAGAATTTGAGAATTATATTAGCTAAAACTGGTGCACAGATTTGGCTGGAAAAGTTCCCCATGTACGAGAGGGTTGTATGATAACCTTGAACAATACCAGATATCTTTCTTTTTGGAATATTCTAGTACTCCCACAAACAAGTAACGCTTATCTTAGCAAGCGTATGAAGGCAAGAAAGCTGCTTTGCAAGAGACTTTGGAAAATACAAAGATATTTCTGGTCTGAATAATGTTTTGTTACTGAGAAAAGAATGCAAAGTGGAACTTCAGAACGTATGCTGAAGATGTTCACAATGACTGTAAGTCTCAGTGTACACAGCACTAGGAGGACTGCTCACAGTCCTCACTCCTAAATATATCACCTTTCCTGTCAGCCTCATCTTACTAGAGAATCTTGTCTTGCTCTTGAATGACTATCTGCTATTTATCACGATTCAAAAATACAACTGAAAACATGCAGTAACTGAGATTAGGAGGCAGTAAGCATAAAACAGATGGAAGTAATTTGTCTTACATACATACGAAAATAATAAAAGTCTTTTACCACAGGATACTGACAAGGCTAAGAATATAAAAATTCCCATATAGACTCCAGTGATAATCCACTTGTCATCAACCTCCAGGCAGAGTATGTAGCTGTCTACCCAACCAGACTGTAACATTCTAACTCAAGAGGCAAGAATATTATGGGAGTCAGACTCAAAAGCCTTGCTAAAGTCAAGGTAAGGAAACCCACTACTCTTTCCCTCCCTCCAAGAAGGCAATCAGATTAGTCAGGCATGGTCTACTCTTGGTAAATCCATAGTGACTGTTCCCAATCATCATCATTTTCTTTGTGCAGCAGCACTCCTAGAAGAGAAGCATAAGTAACTAACTTCTCTCCCAACACCCTCATCTTCATGAAGTCTGTTGTGCAATTAATACAAGGTGGACATTCTTCTGTTAAATTTTGTAGGACATAGATCACAAGCATAAAATTTATTTGGACAGTAACACATTCATTTGGGGCCGTGGCAGCACAAACCACACATATCCTTAAGAAGTAAGACCAAAAGAAATAAGAAAATGTTGAAAAGAAGAACCTGTATTTGTGCCTTCCACAGTTCTGGTAATTCTCAACCAGATAGTGAAATTCTCTTACAAAGAATCTCAAGTCTCCTCCTCCCACGCCGCCAAATTACCAGTACTTAAAGCTGACTAATTTCTGGAGAGGGTTTTGCCTATCAGTTCTACCTATTAGAGAATCTTGGTGTATTCCAGATGCAATCCTCAGCAGCTAACTTCTGGCCAGCAAAGCTGTGTTCTATGTTTGTACCTCACTTGCACATGCGTGTGAGAACTTAAGAGTTGCAATGCTCATAATCACTAAGTTCCCATTTTTGCATATGCCTGGAAAATCAGTGACCATTAACAAGTTAAGTTTGTTACATGAGGAGTTTATGAAACACCTCCATTTGGAAAGGTCACAGACACAAACCAACCAAAAAAAAGGCACAAAACTTGCTTTGATGGCTAAATTCTTCTGTAATGTGGGTCATCTAGGGAATGAAATGCAAAGAGAAGCCATCTAATTAGTTAAGGAAACTGCTTTTTCTATAGCCTGTTCACCTCGGCTATGACAGTTGAAACCTTTGGGCATCGATATAGATGTTTAGAAAGGGGACAGTAGGGAATGTATTTAAAAAACAGGAAAGCTTTACTGCTAAAAGTGGACTCTCCATCCAAATAAACCAGCCCTCAAGAGATCCTTACCGGAGATCCAGACCAGCTTCTTTCCAAAGTATGTCCATCAAACGCAAAATCTGGAGCGTCAACATATCCTGTCGGAGATCTAGAACGGAAGGTTGAAACCGCTACTTCAATTTCTCAGTGTGTTGTAGACAAACTTTCTAATGTTTATGAGGCCTTCAGAAAAAGGTATCTAAAAATACTCATCAAGCCTAGAGGTTAAAGTGGGATTAGCCATAATTATATCATCATGACTGATAATGTCAATACTTGAAACCCAGTCAGAAGAAGATGCTGAATTTGTTTACTGATATTAGAAAAAACTATGTTTATATTATGGCAATATAGAGCAACACAGCTTAAGTGCAGGTGTGGGAATAAAGAAGGAAAAGGAAAAATTTTAAGTTCTTAGCATTGCTTACCATCACCATTTTTAAAGATGATCCCTACAAGATCTCCTCCAAACATTTTATTGTTGTATACTATCCACAGAGGCTTCATTTTAGAATCCATATACCTACACTTCTCAACGCTGGAAGAAAATACAACAAAAGTTTTAGTAAAATAAGAATAATTCAACTGAAACGATTCAAACGTTGTTCAAAACACAACAGAACATGTAAACGTTTAAGTACTGCTGAACTGGAAGTCATCTCTGCTTTCATTCTGCTGCTATGCTATAAGCGCTTACCAAGTTATGAACATACCTATTATAGATGGAATGTATTAGATACTGTGATTGGCATACACATATCTAATGCTTAAATTAAGTACCTGCATTTTCAGAGAAAAGAGTTTTCTTCATATCCTTTCCCATCAATTTTTAGACTTTATATTTAAGTGCTGTTAAAAATTTTAATATGGCTTTTGTGTTTATTGTTATAAACAGAAGCCAGGAATGTAGTCTAATTCACTTCTAGGCTTACATTTAAATATATTTAGCTATGGTAATGTATTGACTAAGAGAGTATTAAGTTTCATGGTGGATCACAAAAAAATTCTGACTTAACTGCTATCTTAACCTTAGGAAGATTCCCAACAGACCTTCTGTCACTACAGAAAAAGTTCCCTGTGACTGAGTTCCCCATATCTGCTGAACAATACAGCCAAAGGAAGTTAAAACACGTACGCGTTTCTGCTTTACTGTTCTGTACAAAAGCTACAGAGAAATTTTATTCACTCATTCTTAACTTACTGTAGTTCTGAAAGTATAACAGAAGGGTTCAGAGGAGACTGGAGATCAGAAAGTGCTTCTCTGTAAGCATTTTGTTTCAAACACGCATGCATTGCATCTTTTCCTTTTGCTTTGCTTTGCTTCATGGCATTCAGCTTAATTAGACTATTTAAAGTCTTCATTTTATTAAGGGCTTCCACCTGAAAGAGATAGTTTATCTTTAAAAGTTATTGCTCTGATTTTACACATAATACAAAGCAAAATCCCATTTCAAAAGAAAACAAAGTATTAAATAATTCCACAACTTGTTAAAAATGGAAATAATAGATGGCAATTAAGGTGGCAAAAATCCTGAAAAAATGTGACAACAGCCTTTTCTAAGTCACTCATGCCTCAGAAATCCCCTTTTCTTAAATAACAAAGGCATTGATGGGATGAAAGCTCCTAAGCTTTGAGTCACTTTTTAAAGCATGACTTAACATTTCCAAAAAAATGAATGAGGTGTTTTAATGTATGATACATTTACACAAATTCCTTCTTCAAAACACAATTTTCATCCATTAAGTCAACAAAGCACATAACATAGGTGTGTCTATCCATACTAAGGTAAATAGGAATACCGAGTGCTTCATATCTCTAACAAAATCAAACATTACTTGAGATAAGCTATGGATGCAGATACTTCATTGTACACATTCCGTTAGTTGCATACAATATAGTATGGCCGTATGACTACTTGGCAGAAAATTTTCACATACATAACTACACACACTTAACTTTTACGGGGCAGAGGCTTAAATGTTTGTTCACTAAAATCCTGACATAAGGTAAATACTTTAATCCATTAAGGTGTTCCAAATAATAGTATCTCATCTAAGCAATACTGTTACCTTAAAAAGGTGTAAAAAGACAAGGCAATTATTTGCAATCAATATGGGTGGGTTTAACCTTTTTATCTCCCCTTCTTCTGTTTTGCAAAGTTTTGTACCAGCACATAATTTCTGAGAAAACAAGTAAACTAGTGATGTAAATGTACACAACACTAACAGAAAAAAGCCCTTCAGTGATAAACCTAGACAGCACGTACAACAAATACAATTTCTCCATTGCATCTACATCTAAGCAACTTGTTAGCCGAATACAAAATAGTTGTTATAACAATCAGCTGTAGCCGCACTAGCCACAGTTAACATGATCAGTAATACACATATTCTCTAGCAAATGGCATCAATGTAATAATTACAAAAGTTGATTTCTATACAAGGAAGCTCCAGCCTAACTTACAAGGTGCTGAGTCAAAACTTACCACTCCTACAGACAGACTGAACCCTGTCAGGCAGGATGCTGTGGAAATTGTATGCAGTTTGATTATAAAACAGGCAATGGAGACCTGCCAGGTCAGCCATCTGTCAAAACCAAAAGCACTCTGCTTTTCCACTATTCTAGGAGCTGTACAAACATCAGTGACAAGGGAACAAAATGGAACCTGTGTTGTACAAACAGGAACTTTTTGAAGTATTTCTACTTTGAATTTCTTCCGTGTTTGCACAGTTGGGAATTTTTTTGCCCCTTCTTTGATTGTACTGACATTTGTTTCCTGCGAAGTGCACAAAAACTTTACTGACCTTAGGTTTATTGCTTAAAGCATTTCATCACCTAATCTCTTTATGATTTTGACAATACTAACAAGCACACATGTGTAAGAGATGGTCTTCTCAATGTCCTGTGAACTGCAGTAATAAAGACCTCAACACCACATTCCTGTTTCATATGGCTCTCAAAACATAGTTTCAATGTAGACAATATCAAAACTGTTAGAAATAATGCTCATCAGACAAGTATCTACTGATTTAGTCTTTGTGGCTTGATACAGCAATACATTAATTCCAGAAAGAGATTTTTCAAATATTTTTATGGTAGCAATCTAAATTAACTTGTTAAAACTGCATTAGAGACCTCAAACATGATTTGTAAGCATCTCTTAGTGAACTGCTGATACACTTATTTGTGTATTTAAAAGCAAACCTCTCATACTTCTTAGGGTATTTAAAAGGAAACATATCTCTCTCCTTTTTTTTCAACAGTACATCTATATTAACACTAAAATGAGTATTCAGTTTACTTCAACACCTCTATTTCCAGACAGTACTACACTATACTACAACTTCAGGGGTTTTTGCATTGCCTTTTAACAAAAGCCAAAGCTGCAGGAAGTAGTACTGGAGTCATCAGGATAAGTTTAGATAGAAAGATAATAGTTTCTATTGAACAAGCCATCCTTACTGGGAAAAAAAAGGTGTTGAACTTCAAGTGCACAGAAATCCTTCTTCAGTTAATAATCCAGACAATCTACTGCTCTGTCCAGAATATCTGCATACTGCTGAAGTATCTCGCACATCTCAGAACTCTATAAAAGCAGCTCCCTATCTCTGAGGACCCACAGCACTAGCTGCTTTCTGTGCCAGGGAGGACTGCTCCATCATCCATCTATTTAGCCCTTTTATTTCTCTGTCTCACCCATGCTTCCTCCTCTTCCCCGCTCCCCAACAGATGGACTTTGTCACGGTAACCAATACGCCCCATAGGAGCCATGGAACAAGTATCTGAGTTACAAGCTAGGATAAGTCAAGATTTACAGGAGAAGGGAAGTCTATACCTGTTTAGCAAGCACTTTCATGTGAGCAACGCTTCCTCGGCAGTAAGCTTCAAGTATCAAACCAAATTGTACTGAAACAGCAGGTATGTGAACCTCTGACCTGTAAGATGAAAAGCTTCTCATCAGATTAGCATTCTTCAAGTCATTAAAATAAACAAAAAATAAATAACAACAAAAAAAACCCCAAAACAAAAAACCCCCCAAAACCCCAAACCACCAAATGTATATGACGCCTCATGGTCACGTAGATATAACAAAAAGTTAGATTTCTTAAGAAATAACAGAACACTTATGTGCTGAAGACTATGAGGACTGGCTGTTTTCAATGCATGCCACTTGTCTCAAGGTCTAGGACTGTTCTAGAGTAACATTAAGAGGTAGCGATTGGATATTTGTTTTCAGGAACCCCTTTTATTCAAGAACGTAGTACTGGATAAGTCATTCAAGATGATATTGACAATCAGGGCTGATGTTAAACCACATGTTCTCAAATCTTTTTAAGGGAAAAGCCAAAATTTGCTGGAGGGGAAACACTTAGTAACAAACCACCGAACCTTATACCAGAGCCAATTATCCTCCAAAACATTTTAATGTGGTACTTGCTCTTTTTATCTAGAAATATTAAAATAAATTCTACTTTGAAGACAGAATCAACCTATAGTCCATTCTGCAAGGTTTCGGCCATTCATGGAACTAGTCATGAAAAGCAGCAACAACACATTAAATTGTTTTTATTTTCTGTTATACTCTTCAACAATAATATAAATTTTTCCCAACTGTGAGGTATAAATATTGTACTTTTACTGCACACACAGCCAAAACAAACAATAAGGTTATATACAAACCTAACTTATCAGATAGTTAGAGCTGAATGCAGTTTGGAATACTTTTGTCAAACAGTAGATTACAAACCACTGTAATATATTTTTAATTATAGGCTTGCTCTGATCTATAAATACCAAAGGTAAAGAAACATAAAGAGGACTTGTAGTGGACTGTGATAATGGCTCATTTAGAACAATCCTCAAGAAATCATATTTGAAAGTCCAATCAGGCTCAACAGTTTCAGAAAGACACAAGGGAAAAACTCCTACCTTAGATGCCAAAACAACATCTGTCCTATTCTCCTGTTAGCGAGTGCTCTCTCTAATAGAAATCTGGAGAGCGCACAATCAAGAAAAGGTTCATATTTCAGGACTTGCACAAGTTGAAGAAGATACTGAGAGAGCTCTTCATCACTAAAATGAAGTACATAAAAGCAGTTAATAACAGAGTAACTAGATGAATGATAATCCAGAAATTCAGATGCATATGGCAAATCCAAGGATGACAGATTTGCCTGAATAGCAAGAGTGTCCTCCAATTTTTCAGTCGCATGGAGAAGGACACCACCATACGACTTGGTGCAATTGTCAGATTGGCCAATTCATCAGTAAGCTATACCTCTAACAGAATCTTAAGGCCCTCAAACCTATAAGTAAAAGTCTGGTGTACTGTCGTGGGATTTTACACAATCAAGATCTCAGCCTGAGTGCTAGGTTAAGTATCTGGCAGATTAATTATTTCAAATTATTTCAGACTGGACATTGGCTCCCTTTGACCACTCACCCTCTGAGTGAGGAGCTGAACCTTTGGAACCACATAAAGAATCACTGTAACCTAGCAGTCAGTTGCAGTGGGCATGGACAAGAACTGAGAATAACTGCATATATCTATTAAAGTCACTCAGCTTACAAAGAAGGGGGAGAAGAGTATTCATTCCATTGAAAGCAATTCAATCAATGAGTCTTTAAAAGTCTGTCAATTAAGAGGTGTCTAAGATATACCTACAAAGTGTATCATTTAGACAAAATGTTTTGTCTAAGAGTTTTGTTTGTTTGCTTTGTTGTTTTTTTTAAATCATGCCAACAACATGAAGGTTCTTAGAGGATTAGGAAAAGTACATCACCTTTGATAAAAGAAACAGTGTCCAAATTACTCCTACCTAAGTATTTAGCCACAGTTCACAAACATACCTTTGAAAAGTCCCTAGGCTAATTAAATACTTCAAGTAATATCCTGACGTAATAAAAATAACGCAATTTTTCTATAAAATCCTGTATTCCCTTCCTCCCTCCCAAAAAACCTCTCACACTTGACGATTATGTTACTCAAACAAATGTGAATGTTCCTTGACTTTTTACATTTCAGTATTTCTTCTCTTCTAAAAGGCCTGCAGAATTCAAATTCTCTGCCTAAGATGGAAGGAAAATAGTACAAATTCTTCTGTCCATCACTTGGAGACTTCAGAGATGCAAATACTTAATTCTTTCATTCTCTCCATCTAGTCTGAAAAAGTACAGTAATTTGGTAAAAACTTTCAAATGTGCTGTGTTGCATTTATTTTCGGCTTTTTTTTTTTTATTTCAGCTAATAGGTTCACCTTTAGGTTAGTTTTTACCAGCTGCCTTCATCAGACTTTTTAAAGACGTTGAAAATTGATTTCTGACACCCAACTGAACATGATTTTGCTTCAGAGACAGAACTAAGAATTCGGGAAATAATTCCAGCTGTAACAATTCAGTATTATTAGGGTAGCTCAACAGTAAAATTGCTTGTTTGCATTTGAAAGAAGTCAAAATATTCTTTTTTTTTTTTTTACCCCAAAAGTCTAGCCTTGACCACTAAAAAAATTAATCACTAAACTATTCACAACAGAGAATTTAGAATTCAAGGACAGGAAATATGCAGTAATGCTGCAAATAATAATGTTATACAAATCTTGCCCTAGGTTACAGTGAAGAGCAAAATTATATGCGATAAAGGAAGAACTGCAGACAGCGAAGGCTACTGTGAAGAACAAACAAATCCGTAATTCTCTGGGTTTTTATTATATGCTACAGCTTACATTTCTATTAAATGATAGAGTCAATACCTGACACAGAGTGTGAGGCGGCTGGATGGCAGTTTTTATAGTATTTGATTATTGCAGTATTTTCTCCCTTTGTTATTAAAAAGTTCTCACGCTATCCTGCTCTCCCTTTGTCCAAGAAAGAGGTGAACAGACAACTCTCTCTGGGACAAAGGTACATTGGTGTTCTCTTAGCAAGATGGAAAATAATAATCACTGAATACAAAGTGTCAAAATAAGAAGGCTTTATTTGACTGCCAATGTGCTTATCTAGAAATCAGACTGCTTTATTTGGCCATCTATTCATGCAAGGCAGCGTGTTTAAATCTTTCCTCTGGGTTCTTTTTTCCTATAAACAAACAGAATGCAGTTTTTCACCTCAGAAATCCTTGCATGCTGAAGTAATACAATATACTCACCTGATTTGCTTTAAACAACCCACTGCATATTCTCTGACGTACTGGTCTGGATAATTGAAATCCAACAATTCTAATGCTTCTCTAGGCAGCAGTTTGGGCCATATCTGAAGGAGAGCCTGAAGCTGTTTTAAAAAGACGACTATTAGGCCGCAGGCAAAGTAACTATTTAAGAAAACAGATGGGTATAACCCCCCATAAAAGCATTCATACTAACAGAAGGAGGTTACAGACTGGTCTGGAGGAGAAAAGGAAAGAAAAGGAAAGAAAAGAAAAGGGAGGGGGGGGCAGAAATCATTCTGGGAAAATGAGCCCACTTCTGATTAAGTTTCTTAACCATTAAAATGATCCAGATTATTTTTTGGCACCAGGTCTCATTTACACTTAGTCTGAAAAAAATCTGTTTCTTCACACGTAGACACAACACACAGTAAACTAAAATTAGGTAACCCCGTATACATATGTTTTAGAAATCGAGTTTCAATAAAATTTAGAGAATGTTTTGTAAATGCTCTCATAAATACATAAATATTTCAGTAAAATTTTTCCATTTCAAGAGAAAAAAAAAATTTTGTTGAGAGAGATCTTTGCCAAAAATATTTATCTATCTCAACTGATGGAGCTGTTTCTCTCACAGACTGTGAATAGTAATGAGCTTAAATTGAAAAAACATTATTCAGGTTAGGTATTAAAAACAACATTCCCAATACTGAAGACAATAATGTGTTGGAAAAAATTACAGAAAACACTAGTGTATTATTTTGGACTACCAGGAAGAATAACATCTAGAGGTCTCATAAAATAAACTGGTTTTATTGCATTTTAATGAAGCTACCTGCTTCATACCTATTTTTAATAATACATATATAGTTGTATGACTGAAACAGTACACTATTACTTGAAATAAACGAGCTTGAATGTATAAATGTAGTGTATCAACAGCACAAGATTTTTTCTGTCTGTAGGAAAGAGTCATATCTCATGATAAAAATTATCCTTTCCTACAAATTAGATAATACAGGTATTTCATGTTTAAATAACAGCTTATACAACCTGAATGATCGGGAAGATCTTATTTTCCTCCTGATTTAGTAATCCTTTTACACCACCAGTGGGGGGAAAAAAAAAATATCTCTATTTCTACTATATGTCATAGTTCAACTAATGCTTCCAGTTCAAGTATGACAAACACGTACAAGTTCATAGTCTCAGCCTGCACCTAACAGGTGTGCTCATAACACTACTTAAACACTTAGAGGGCCAGATTCCGAACTGGTTCATCTCCGCAGTTTTGTGAAATTCAAAGGCAAAGAAACGGGCACAGGCCAATCCCAATGCAAAGCCAGTGGCCATGATACAATTCCAGAAGTGGAGGAAAGAATCAATTACTGTTTTCATTGGCAAATACTGGTATGAACACATGCAAGAGTCATAATGATATAAATTAAGGATGTTTTTAAAAATAATGTCATAATCCCACAGAAACATACACACAAAAATCTATTCAATCCATAGCCCATTAGGGGTCAACACCACCAGTCCTTGCGTCAAGAAGAACTACAGCCACCACCACTTACATATCATGAATACTTGTACTAAAATTCTGAAAGAAATACTAACACTGAGCAGATACTTAATACCATAAAACAGATGTTGAAATTGAAAGCAGCAGCTATGCTTGTCAGACACACAGGAAGAAACTTCAAAACAAATGTATCAGAACTTTTAGACAACCTACTTCAAATCAGGTGCAGAGCCAACAAAAATACAGAAACTTTTGTTAATAATAAATGATCAAAACGAATGGAGAACCTGAAATACAGTCTGAAAAGACAAGTCAAAGTGGCCTGCCAAGCCTCATATATCAGGCAATGAATTTTGAAAGTCATGGTTTACAGCATGAACATTAACTGTGAAGTTTATCTGAAGATACAGGCCTCCTCACTTTGACTGCTGAAATGATTTCAGAGGTTATTACAATGAGAAAATGTTAAGAGATACGAGCTCAGAGGAAGTAAGATCTAAATGACCTATGAAACAGCCAAGAAAATTCCCCAAATAACTACTGCTCTGTTCATGTTCTGCCTTGGAACTTTTATTAAGAGAGAAGTGCAGTCCAACTAGCTCCACATTCCAGGTGCATCGCACGCTTCTCAAAAGTGCACGTGAAAGGATATCAGAAATACTTCTTGCATTTGGACAAAAGAAACTTGCAGCATGAAATACCCTCATCTGCTTTGGCAACAGAGAGGTAACTCTGAAGAACTTCCAAGTATATCTCATTTGTAAAGAAATTTTACATTTCAAAAGACATGTTTCAAGTTCTTAAAATTTCTCCGCAATATCAAACATGTTAAAATGCTGCACACATGAAAATACCGCATACTTCTTTCACATGGTTTGCAGCTCCTGACAAGCTGTGAGAAAACAAGGAACTTCAATTCTCAACAATAATCTAAACCTTTAGAGAAAACTCAAATTTGGCCTTGGTCTATCAATATTTTTCCTATAAAGAAATAACCACAATTTCTTTCCTAACAAGACAAGTTTACTGTAAGTCACAATACAATTAAGCACAGGCCAGTATATAAGCACAGTTATTATTTCAGTTATTTCAAGTATTTCAAAAATTAGCCATCATTAATGATGGTGTCACTTCACTGAAAGTGGGTGGATTTATTTTTTTTTTTTAATAATGGCTAGGTTCTGGTTTGAGAATAAATACTGCCTGTGAATTCTGCTAAGAAGTTCTGCCAACCTACTACTCTGCTGAGTGAGGAGGTTATGGCAACTGAAAGGGCAAACACCTTCACAACTCCTTCAGTGCAACTATTCTACTAAAATATTGCAACATATTGAGAGTTTGGATGAATGGTAAAAAATATGATAATTTAAAATAATGATATGGTAAAAAATACAAGGAAGCTGCTTTAATCCATGTACAAAACTTTAAGGACCACTGAACTAACAGATTAAAGACGGTCTACAATCAAATATAATACTCCCTTTCTAAAAAAATCCTTACTACTTTTGAGCTGCATTAATAGAAACAGGAGTATAGTTGTTTAGTTCATTTCCCTTATAAACAGCTGGAGTTTGGTTGGTTTGGGGGTTCTCTTTTTTTTGGTTTTGTGTGTGGTGGGTTTTTTGTTTGTTTTTGGTTTGTGGGGTTTTTTTTGTTGTTTTGGGGTTTTTTGTTTGTGGGGGGTTTTGTTTTGTTGTTTGTTGGTTTTTTTTTAATATTTTGCCTAAGTGTCAAGACTTTTACTGAAATACTTACAGCTAACAACAGGCATTAAAAAAAAAAAATCTTCTAGTACCATGGCATGCATGTAGTAGCAGCACAAATACTGCAACATACAACTAGTACTACATATATTTAATTTTTATGAGAAGTAAATTATGAGTTCTGCTAATTTTGGAATTCATAAAATTCATGAGGCTGTCTTGCCTGACCTGAAAAGGTAAGTCATTACTTACATGTCTATGTATTACAGAAATATTTGGCATGTTTAAGAATAAGATCATATTTCTCCAATAGACTACTCTTGCTGCCAAACCCAATATTAAAATATAAACCACTCTATTGTCTATACATAAGCAAACACAAATACTACATTCCTTCCAGAAAGTACACAGTAACATGCAAGATGACTACGTATTTTCAGCCAGCCGTTTAAATAAAATGCTTTATACATATTTATTATTCCCAAATTTAAAGGACTTTGAGCTGTCAGCTAATATCCATACTCCAAATAACTTTTCAACACTCTGCTACTAAAGGTTGTATTTGAAAGCCCCTAGCAAGCAATCGGAATGCCTTTTCCTTCACAAATTTTAATAAGTAAACAAATAACCGCTTATATTTCTACAGTTTGTCTTTCCAGATAACTTTTAACAATGACCAATAAATTCAGAAGCACATAATGGAACTACTAAGGAACAAAGTATTCTTGCACATGAAAGAACACAAGTGAGCAACGAACGTGTGGGTGCTACATTTTGTTAGTGTAGCGTTCACAGCACAGACAATGAGCTAGGATGAAATTCCATTTATAAACTGACAGAACATATACATCTAGCTGGTAGGAAGGATCTAATAGAAAATAAAGCCTACACTAGAGGCAAACTAAGATTCTGACTGACTGGATAATTGCAAAAATCACATGATGAATAGATGGAAGTTGAGTTTTCATGGACCGGCTTCCTTTTCTTCCAAGAACACAGGCAAAGGTCAGAGTACTAAGCTAGAATAGAAATTTATACTATCAATCATAACCTTTAACAGCAAATGCTTTTAGTTCAATGTTTTTTAAAAATGAAAAAAATTTAGTTTAAAATTTACAAAACAAGACTTGTGGAAAGACGTAACTATTATCTCAGTGTAACAGTCTGCAAGAAGTTAAGCATCATTTTAGCTCAATGTTTTTTAAAAATGAAAAAAAACTTAGTTTAAAATGTACAAAACAAGACTTGTGGAAAGACATAACTATTATCTCAGTTAACAGTCTGCAAGAAGTTAAGCATCATTTAAATGTGCAATTCCATCAGGATAAGCAGATGAACAATACAACATCTGGGTTCACCCATTTGAGTCAGCACTGTGCTTGTTAACACTGGTCAGACTTTTATAGTTTTGCCCAATCTGCTCTATACACAATCAGACTAAGAAATTTCAATACAAATCCAGAAATCCATTATTTTATTACTTTTAAGTCAGTCTATCA